CTTCACTTTTCTGACATACAAAACAGTCATGAGGAATTGTACTCCTGTTTTGATTAGATTTGTTAAGCAGTTCATTGCTCTTAAAGTTTATATCTCTGTAACTTACCTGGTTCTGTTTTGCTTCATTTTCATTTGTTTTTTTCCCCTACTTCTCCCACCACATCGACATTGGAACTGCTTGATGGATAAACATATACCTATTATTTTTTAACTTTTTCTAAACTAGAATAGACTCAGGCTTATGGTGTGAGCTTTTTAAATAAGTGTGTCAGACAAACTTACTGGAATTTAGCGAGTATAATCCTTGATGCTTCTCTCCTCTCAGAAGGTTATTACCATGTTCTATATTATCAGCAAGATAATCAGGCCACTAGTGCATGCTGCAAGAGTTCATCTCAGAAGGTAAAGGACCAAGATGGTGACTCATCAGGACTGATTCACCTCTAAAAATCGAGGGGAAGAGGGATGCGGAAAATGTTCTTCAGTGTTAAGTAGTTTGGGGAAGGGGATACATTTACATTTAATAAAGTAAAACCCATGAGACAATGAATTAAAAAGTCCTGGATGCTTCTTTCCTTTTGTGTGTGTGTAGATTGGATTTTTGTTTGGTTTGGTTTGGTTTTATTTTTCCTCAGGCTAGAATCCAGTACAAGGAAATGGACTGTTGACTACAAATTGAGAAAGAAAGCACTCTGATGGCCAGATTTTTAAGGCAAGCTTAGTACTTCAAAAGACAAAAACAAGTTTCATAAAACTGCCTTTGCAGAGCAACATCAGTTGCTTTCAGCTGTAATTACATCCTTTAATCCCCAATTCAATCCTTTTATCAGCTTCCTCACTATTTTTCTCAGAAATGCTAACAAGATAACCAGATTTTAATTACTTAAGTTTTTCTTCTTCTTAATACTGGGACAGTACTAACAACTTCCTAGTTCGCTTGAATTTTTTTGCTGTTTGTTTTGTTTATCTAGTTTTATTAAAAGACTGATTGAGAATAGCTGGAGGGGTGTGGGGTGTGTGTGTAATCTCTGAGATAACACAATATTCAATGAATCTTGACGTTACCAGACTCCTAACATGCGACAGCAGGGAGAATGGAAACTGGCACAAGGGAAAGACTGTACTTGCATTATGTGAAGGGAAAAGAGCACAGAAGCAGGGGAACAAAACTAGAGAAAGAAATGGTGACCTAGTCAAGACTTCATTTTCAAATTATTCTAGTAAAGGGAGCAACCAGAAAGAAAAAACCATAATCCAAACATATTTGGTGCAAAGCTATCCAAACATGCCATTTACTCTATTGTATATAATCCTATGAAAAATGTACAAAACCATGTGAGCAATAAAGATATAAGCTAACACTAATCACTGGAATTAGTTCCTGTTGTTGCAGTCCATTCTTCATAGACAAAAAAATGAAATAGATTTCAACAAAGATTTTGACACTTACAAATAAATTCTTGAAGGGATCTGAAAATTTCAAGAAAATTAATTCACAACAGAAAAACTGGAAACATCTGAAGATCATGGATTCTGTACATTTCATATTGATCACCTCTTCATTTAAGTTTGTAATGGAAGACAACAAACCTACATTAGAACTGTGGTAACATGCCCTCTTTAAGAGCTCTAATACATGGTTATTTCATAAGCTCCTTGGAGAAGGGAACATCTTTACCAAGATCAGAGACAAACATATAATTTAGCTTTCCTAATGTAATAGCTGAAAATTCAAGGTAAGCGTCTTACGACAGTCTGATGAAAGCCGAAACAACTGCTATTCTTTTATCAATGGCAAATCAGTAGGCTCTTCTGTTTGCAGTATTGTGTTAGAAATCAGTGTGAAACTAAATGTAACCTCTGAAGGCAGAAGAACTTTCTGTGCAAGATGTTTGTTTACTATCCCCGCTTTTCCCTTGGCATCACCAGAGGAGTTTTCAATGCTACGAATATGCATTCAAGAGCTCCCTTGTAAAACAAATGCTTAAGGATCTCTGTTTTCCTAGTATACTACACACAAGAAACCAGCCAAGAAGAAGATGTGGGACAGAATTCTACCTGCTTCTGCCGTACATGAAGTTGTCAGCTGCTCGTTAACCAACTCAGTGACATGCCATCCATCATTAACCATGATACACTCCTTGACACCTCTTTGGTTCTGTTTGGTATTTATATTTTATTTTAGTGGTATTAAATAAATTAATTAATAGTAATTTCTTGTAAAAGTCAATAACCTGAACAAAAATTGTTTCATGAAATCTAAAGACTATGACCTTATGAAAAAAAATCTTCTTACTTTTCATAAATTATTCTCAAATGTACAGTAAAACATACAGTGCCACTTATTTCAAATTTACTTCTAATGATTAAAAAGAAGTATGACATGGATTTAGGCTATTCTAAACTGAACCACAGGCAATGCAATGTTAATATTTCACCATGGTATTGTCTTCCTTATGAAGAACATCAGTATATCAAAATCTAAATATGAAATACTTTTCTAGTAGGCACACAACATGTAAAGCATCTGTATGATGTTACTGCTTCCAGATACAGTTTTTCTTCTTTCCTTCTCACCTACTCTATTAAAAAGTGCATTATTGCTTTGGCTGAATTAAGGCGATTCAAAAATCAAGCAACTCATGTAAGAACTATATGCAGCAACATAGACTGAGCAACAAAATTATAAATGAATGGAGAAGTATAAGACAATTTTAATTGTTTCAGCCTGCCTGCAGACAGACTATAGGTTATGGTTGTGTTTTTTTTTTTTCCAGTTTTAGACATCAAGGACAACAGATTTTGACAGAAAAAAACTTCAGACCAAATCATAAGACTCCAGGAGTTAACTCAAGTATCCCAGCTCTGATCCCTGGTTAAACTGATCCCAGTAATGTACAGCAATTTGATTTCCAAGAGGTTTCAGTGCAGTTCACAATTATTTAATAATTCATACCCTGTAAGCCTGCTTGTACAATTGTGGTCTTTGTGTGCAGATGAGACTCCTGTTTGGTTTATTAGTGGTTTTGGTTTTTTTTTTTTCACCGTGCACATGTACAAGTACACTTCAGACACCAGTTAGAGTTAACACACAGCAAAACAACTCGTTATATTTTTAAACATTATCAAAGAAAGCAAAAGATTGCTTCAAGGACATGTTTGTTCTAGGTGTTTTATTTAAGACCAGTAATGTTTGTGCTAGAAATAGAAAATACTTTCAACTGGTTGCTTTTATAAAGTAAATGAAGTTTTATTTTCCTGGTACTCTACATTCTGTGATAGAAGGAACACTGAAGTTATCATCTACAAAGAGTACAGTAGATATTTTCATTCCTTCCATCCAAAGAATAGAAAAATCCAACTACAACTTACATTAGAATATAGAAAAAAATAAGACAAATTTATTTTTGTGAAACAAAACTAATATGGCCTATATATCATGATTTAACTCAGTAAATTCAAATAAATTTGCAAGTAAAAATCTACCATTAATCTAAGTTTTCTATTGTGTCAAAGTTTCTGAGTGTTAATTTAAACTAGACACTTAAGAAATTTTCATCTGTGACTTTATAATCTATCTTTCTGAAAACAGTCCTTAATAGCATTTTATTCTAGTTGTGTTCAACATGCTGAGCTGTACTGGCAGCAATGCCAGTATGACAATTAGGTAAAATCTACAGTCTCCTGTAAAATTTCAACTAGACAGGTCAGCTAATATGAAATAATCATAATTACTAGCAAAGTGAATGAGAATATGTTAAAGTATTAAGGGAAGATACTGAGAATCCATATCATGTTATGGTCCAACATTCAGAAAACAAAAAAAAGAGGTGAAAAGAACAGCTCTGAATAAAAGAATATTTGCAACATTCACTAAATATGGAAAACTGGTATTTCTTAAGTAGTAAACTACCATGTATTCTGCAATTACAAACAATTCATCAAGTTTAGAAATATATTTTGAGATTTCAATAGACACAATTAGTCCATTATATGATATTCTTCATGTCTCTTTTTCTGCCCTAGTGTTTTGGTTTTTTTTTAAATAGATACATTTTAACTCTTCATGCACTCAGAGACACTCATATTTAATGGAAACAACTCTTTCAAAGAAGGCACCATATTGAATGTGTACCCCAAGGATATTCAACAGGGAAGATCCCTAATTCATTACGCAGCCATTGCCATTTTTGACGTTTTCAATTCTTTGCAAGTTCAGCACTCCTTCACAATCTCACAAGGGTTTGAGAATACAGCAATACTGTATGGTGTGAAGACCTTCATACCAAATAAACCAACTTGTTACATCTACATTTTTTTGTGTAAAATATTTTAACTGATGGTACTTTTGATCGAAATTGTATTTATTGAGCATACTGCTGAATTAGGTTTTGGGAAGGCCATTGTAAAAACAGAAGCTAAAACAGTGGTGTAGAATTTTGGAACAAAAACAATTCCAAACCGTCTTTATTTTTCTGATTTGTTAATAAATTATACCTACTTGAATTACAACATAAGTAAAACAGAAGTGAGTACTTGACTTTCTGTTCACCCACAGTTTCAAATAGCCACTGTCTTTCAGCTTCTTACAGTGTTCTTCCACATACAAAACAATAAATCTTTTTTTTCTTTAACTAGGAGAGATTTTCTCTGGCATAGTTTCTGTTATCTCCATCATTTAATTCCTTACTATCAATGATCTTTAAAAGTTTCTCAAAAGAGATAACTTTTGTAAAATTAATTGAACACACTGAGAGGCACAAACCCCTCAATTTGAGAAGAAAAATCAGCTTCATGCATTTGCACCGAGAAGAATTTTTTCTGCTTTCAAAAAGACAGATCTTGTATTTCTATCAACTTGATATGCCTTTAGCCCATTTCATATATCTTTTATTCTGTATTAACATTTATTGCCACGGAAGTATACATTATTATCCTGTATTTGTAGTACTTGAAATGTAGAGAACAAGTTAAAAATACTCAGTCATCAAAACACCAACCTTGTGGGCAGGGTACAGCAGCCGTCAGCCGTCAGCCTGACTTGGGTTTCATAGCTATCCAGTGGGCAAACGACTTGTTGAACAGGAGGGCATTCGACTGTGCTGCAATCCACGCTGAACACTATGGAGGAAGGAAAGAAGAAAATTGCTTTTACTCATTTTTTTTTAAGCTTTTTGCAGATTACCTTATCATAAGCAAGTAGTTATGCGTCAGCCTTTTAATTTAGGTCAGAAAAATTAACTAATAAATGCACACTTAGTGAGTAACATCACGAAACTACTTCCATTCTCTTTAAGATTCACTTTTTTAATTACTGACTCACAAAGCAACTGAACTAATATTAGTTAATATAAGAAAATTATAAAAGTTAGACAGGCAACCTTAAACAATCATTACACATTAATAACATTAGTTACTAGAAATATGCTAGGCTCCTGAGAATATATTTTCCCAAAGTATTTTAAACAGTTAACAATTGTTTTTTTAATTTTTTACTGATTAAAATTGATTTAAAAAGTAAATTTCCTGCGTTATAGAAAATAAAAAAGAAATAAAATTAAAGACATTCTGTGGATTTACGCTTGTGTATGTTAACTATGTTTTCAAGGATTATTCCATTAGGTTGTGTTGTCTAGATATTTCACTACAGTTAAAAAGAAATGCAAATTACCAAATCTGTCTGTGCTAACAAGATGAAAAATGCCACATAACCACTTTTTAGAAAGCAACAAATGTTTAGAAATTAAAATAAATAAATAAATCAGGTTGAATATACATTTAATCTTATGAGTCACACTCAGGAAAGCTGAAACACATCTTTACCTTATTTGGTCCTAAATCTTCCATGTTAATGAACAATACCACCTCAGCTATTATCTATTTGTTATTCATTATCATAGTTACACTAAGAAAGTACAGAATAAAACAGTTCCCTCTTTAAAGAAACAAGCTACCTTCTGGCTGAGTAGTCAGGATGAATGCAAAGTTATCAGACTGAAAATTAGACAGTGATTACTGCTTAAACTTCACTTCAGTATTGACACTATTAGGACAGATTACTGCAGTGCTAAAGCAGCTTGGCAACACCTCTTGCAAGAGCTGATACCTTCCAAAGTCCCATTTCCAGTCTTCTAGTCCTACATTTTTTCAGTTTTGATCCTCTGAGGTACACAACAATAATAATTCAAACTGTCATTATGAGACAGTCTCAGTATTACATCTACTTAGCATATCACATTAAATATTTAAATGAAAGCACAAGTTCAAGGAAAACAGTTTGCAACTCATCAAGGTTAGAATCCACAGGTTTGAAAGTTAACGGTCTTGAGGACAAAGTACTTGAGTATGTGAGTACCCTCTGTACAATCTATATTGAGAATCTGCTTTTTTACAGTTAGTTGGAAAATGGAGCCATCTGCTATATCAGAGTAATCTGACAAGTGCAAGGCCTTCTCACTGAGAACAATTAAATGCACAGTTTTAAAGTCTATTTTCTGGAGCAATGCAGAAAGTTACTACATTTAAATTGAAAGTTTAAGATTCCAGTTACTCATCAACAATAGCAATTATCAAATTAACTTTTATATCTCTTTGTAAACAAAGATACCTATTTGCCTTTAGGACAGGATTACTTAATTCTATCATCTAATCATGCCATAAAGTCACAACTAAAGTGCTCCTCCTCCTTCCTAAACAGGTCAATTTCTTCCCAGTGGTTACAGTGTGCTACTACATGGTTCACTAACACTGAAAAGCAGCCCAGTCTTTATTTTAAAAGTACAAACCTAAGAATAATTATAAAACAAACTCCATATCAAGAGGATTCAAACAAAAAATTCTCATGTAATTAAGTGGCTGTAGTGTCTCAGTGATTCCTCTAACTAGATTTTGTCTATCCTAGAAGGTTTAAGCTTTAAATATATAGTTTGACAAATATGTTATCTTCAAGAACTCATAAACATGTTGCAGTATCCTATTACTGAAGATGCACCCAATCAACCTTTTCTTACAAGTCTTCAGGAACTTTTTCATGCACTGAATTTGTATACAGTAGCATCTGACAGATATTAATTTTTCTATGAGAATGAAGCAGAAACCCTACCATGGTTGTAGACCCTGACATAACTGCAATAGTGTGCAACCTCCTTTGTAGACTACAACCCCAAAATTCTCAGATCACGAAACTGTTACTGTCCAGGTGAAAATAACTTTATAGTAGAATATGTTAGCACAAGTATATTTAAATTTCACCTTTCCATATTATGCTGGCTTTTCAACAAATAGAATGTACAGTTTATGTGCAAGGTCTAAATAACTACCAATGCACCTGAAGGTCCAGGATCAAGGCTGTATTTTATCTTTGATGCAACACACTGCCTCAGCAGAGGTAAGACTTCCTATTTTTTTCCAGAAGTCACAACTTTCTGAGGGTCCAGGACAAGGGTGCACAGTCTGCTTCTACGGCAGTTAAGATGTATGACATGACACCCTTTGCTGAATGCATTTCATCTGATGCCTCATGAATAATGCAACATAATATCTGATAATGGTAGTTACACTTCCTGCTCTAGAAGGAGAAAGAAAGCACAGAAGTATCTCTCCATGACAATCCTTTTCTCATTTCTTCACACTTCAAAATATATTAAATACAACCAGAACAGATAGCATTTCTGCACTTACAATGCAGTGTATCACTGAATTACTTCCTTAACTTCCCTATCACATGCATTTCCCAACATGGACCCTTACATTTGCTGATTCTCTGCCCTCCTCACTCCCCGGCCCATCATTCCCAATTTATAAGCCAATGCGCCAGCCCCATTAGAAATGTATTTGTAATTCTTCCCCACTCATTTTCTCCAGCCCTCTCACAATCTCCTAAGTCCTTTCAACAACAGCTTCTAACCAGGCATCCAACAGAACATGTTCTATTTTTGTATGCAACAGAGAATTTTAAAAAAAGTAATTCTATTTCTATCTATGTATAAAAACTGGATTTTGCTGACCCTTGTCAAGTGACCCTTGACCCTAGTGCAAGACTAAAAATTCAACACTTAAGCCATACCAGTACATCACTACATACTACCTACTAAATTTTGCTGCTGATCTGACTTTCCATCAAGCCCTGAATTCCCCAAAGAAACAAGCCAAACAATAACATTGTCTTTATAATTGTGTTTAAACCAATATTTGGTACCAGAAAAGAAGCCTCCATTTCAGTAAGTAATTTTTTCAGGCCATACAGAAGTGCTGGAGAAGGTGAGTGAATGAAAGCTCTGCCAAGAAGACATCTAAAAGAATGACAAATGAACAATCCATTCAACAATGGTTCTCTCCAGCACAAGAGATTTTCCAATGCTTTTCTAAGGATGTCAGAAACTAAGAGTTGACACTCCCCACCTCACCATATACAACAATAAAAATGTTATCAGCAAAGCTGTAACAAACGTTTGTTGGTAGCGGTCAAAGTAAGCTATTCACTTTTCTTTGTCCTGAAGTGGTAGCTAGAGTTCCAATTACAACTTCAGCAAAATATCTTTTAGATTAGATTTTAACTTCATCTTGAAATAAACATGATTTTAAAAACATGACTGCTCATACTGGTTTTAGCTTCTTAACAAAAGAGGTGTATATATTTCCACAAATCTTATTTCAGGTTATTATTGATTTTACTCTTAATACATTATGTAGCTCTATTTGAGACCATTCATTCAAGCTATCTTTAAGGGAAAAACACTAATTTTGGGAACACTTTTTAAGAACTGTAACTCCCAGCATAAAACTAAATTTTGTGCTTATTCAGTAAATTCACTGCTCATGAATGGGCAGTTATACACATAGCTCTCAGGAACAAAATAGGTTGTATGGCACTGAACCACTGTTATCTCTGAGCTTTGCAACCGCAGCAAAACAAAAAGGGTAAAAACATTTTAAACAAATTAACCTGGCAGTTAATCACAGAAGGGGCTGGAGGGGATCTTAAAGATCATCTAACTCCAAGCCTCCTGCCATGGGCAGGGACCCCTTCCACTAGATCAGGTTGCTCAAACCCTCAGCCAACTTGGACTTGAACACTTCCAGGGATGGAGCACCCACAACTTCTCTGGGTAACCTGTTCCAGTCTCTCACCACCCTTGCAGTAAAGTATTTCTTCCTAGTATTTAATCTAAGTTTACCTTTTTTCGTTTTGAATCTGTTACCCCTTGTTCTATCAATATACTCTCTAATAAAGACTTCCTCCCTGTCTTTCCTGTAGGAAAGTTACTTTCCTTTAAGTACTGGGAGGCCATCGTAAGGTCTCCCTGGAGTCCTCTGTTCTTCATGCTGAACAATCCCAACTCTTAGTCTGCTCTCGTAGGGGAGGTGTTCCAGATAATTTTTGTGGCCCTCTTCTGCACCTGCTCCAATAGGTCCATGTCTTTCCTATGCTGAGGGCCCCAGACCTGAACGCAGTACTCCAGGTGGAGACTCATGAGAGTGCAGTAGAGGGGGAGAATCATGTCCCTCATCCTGCTGGTCACACTCCTCTGGATACAGCCCAGGCTATGGTTGGTTTTATGGGCTGTGAGTGCATGCTGCCAACTTACATCCATTTTTTCACCCACCAACACCCCCAAGTCCTTCTTCACAGGGTTGCTCTCAATCCGCTCATTGCCTAGCTTGTATCTGTGCTCAGGATTTCCTCTACCCATGTGCAGGTCCTTGCACTTGGCGTTGTTGAACTTCCTGAGTTCACCGGCCAACCTCTCAAGCCTGTCAAGCTGCTTCTGGGTGGCACCCATTTCCTCCAGAATGCTGACCTCACCACACAGCTTGGTGTTGCCCACAAAATCACTGAGGGTGCATTCAGCCCCACTGCCCATGACAAAGACGGTAAACAGCACAGGTGCCAGTACTGACCCATGACAAACGCCGTTCGACACTGGGTGATGAGATAGTTAAAACTAAGCTGCTAAGCTTCTTCACTGTTCATTTTAATCAAATGCCACTGTCTTTAATCATTGTATTCATAAAGTAAAAGAGGTAGAAGATGAAGAGGATCTCAAAATGAAAGATTTTCTTTTTATTCAAGCATTTAGTGCTAAAGAAACACTTCCTGTTTTTCTTTCACTGACTCAGTTGCCAATCACAGTATTTGAATGTATGCAATTCTCAGCAGAAGGCTCCAAACTCAAATGCTACTGTAAACTGGAGAGGAGTCACATCCTATTTAAGGAACAGAAATAAACACAATTTATGCTTTAATTGTGCAAAACACTTTATATTGGCAGAAGGCAGTACTGCTATTATAGGAAGCAGCCCTCCCAGCTTCTGGCAATTTGTTTCCTCCAGAAAACTGATGAAAAATGCCTATGGAGGCAAGTAAAGCAGAGACAGGGGTGCAGGAAGAGTACTCTGCCCCAGACCTAAAAACTTTAGTTCTATGAGTACTGGTACTAACATATGGAAAACAGTTTTCTGTGTTCAACATGTGAACTCCATAGACATGCTGACACTATTCAGCAGAGCTAGTGACATCAGCCCCATAGGAAACTGCACGAACACTTACCTACCAGGCTTTATGCTGCCCACTGGATCAATTTTTTTCCAGTAACATGACATTAAAAACAGAGGAAACATGAAACAGAGCATTTCTACTTCAGTTCCTCTCCAACTGTTCTTTCCTACAATTCTTCAGGATACCAAGTCAAACTCTGAAGACACAAGTTTTATTACCAGGTTTACCAAGGGCTGAATAAATATCCTTGCCACATAAGGAGCATTATCTGATCACTATTTTAGCAAATCCACATAGATAATTCACATACTGCTCATATATACATAAAACCTGTTATATGCTACTACATATACAGTATTTGTATATACAAACAGAGAATAAATGGTATAAAACAGTGCAGGAGAGGCAGGATGGAATAGATTACCTCCAGAGTCATCTAGTCTTCCAAACAAAATTATTCTATAATTCTATAAGCCTATGAATATACAATCCTAACGAAACAAGATATTCCATTGCTGTTCTTAAACAAAGAAATTTATTTAAAACCACAGGCAGTGGTGAACATGATGGAACAGTTTGGAATGGTTTAGATGGAAAAAATCATCAAGGCTCATGCTGACTTGCAAATTTAAAAATAAAATTACTAAACTCTCTATAAGAAGGGAAATATTTTAAAAAAAAATCAGTATTTGATTAGTCTATTTTCTTCGTATACCAAGTACAAATTATGTTGTCTACACAAGTACATTTTACACTCTTTGAAAACAAGGTGCCTCTGAAAACTGAAAAAGTTCAAATTTGCAAAGATTTACCACTGGGAAAAAAAACACACACACACACACACACACACACAAAACAAAAACCAAAACACCAAAACCCCTTCTGTAATTAGACTATGAAGATTTATCAACATTCACCTAGTCCTTCTTCCCTGTCGGCTTATTTTTCCTTCGTGATCTTCCCATTGTCAATTAGTAGTCTAGAGAAACATCTAGACTAAAGTTAAGAAAGTCAACTTGGATAACCACTGAAGTCTACCTTGACAAAAATCAGGCTATGTAGTGACTAATAATTCCATATTAATAGCACTCCTTTTCCCTGAAGTCAAGACACTACAACAAGCAAGGGCCCCATTTACCCTGTAATTTACACATATCAGAGCTAACATTCATTTTGAGATATAAGGAAATAAACCAAAGTAAGCAAGATCAAATTCAGTAAATACATACTTGAAGTATGTATAGGGATAATTAAAGTGTACAAATACAGTGGTTCAGTAGCAGTCATGCTACAGAAAGATCTTGGGATCACAACATTTCACAAACTCAATATAACTCCTGCAAAGGAGCCAGCTCTTGTTTAGAATTTTGCATGAAAGACAAAAGTAATTATTCTGCAGGGGGTTCTGATGAAGACTCGTTCACTGTAGTAGTCTGCTTTTGTAACACCATAGTTTAAAGATGTGGATAAACTTTAGAAAAGTCAGAGGGGCAATATAACAAGGAAGGAGTCCAAGGAAAACATGCCAGAAGAAATTACATCTAATTCTAGATGAAAGAACACTAAGGCTGACAAAATGTTCAAAAGGAAAAATTATTCTGAAGACTTGTTCACCAGCTACTCAGGACAGAGAATGAAAAAGTCTGCTTAAATTTCCACACAGGCAGATTTGCATTGGGTATTAGAAAAAAACACAAAGAGAAGCACTAGGAGATACAAAGACAGTACAATCTTCTGGAGGATTTAAGAAAACATTAAACAAGCATAGGAATGGCACAGCTTAAGCATACTTGAACCTGTTTGCATATAAGATTTTGGATTATACAATTTTCTATGCCTGCTTTCATCCCTCTATTTTTATTATTCATCTTTGCCAAAGCCTGGATCAAAAAGAAGAATGCATTACACCTTCCACTTCACTGAGAATAATAAATCACAAGAAAGATTTATTTGTGTTCTCATGAAATGGAAAATGGGTAAATACTGAAAATGTTGTATAATCCTTTGCTATTCTCCTCCACAATCCTTTTGCTCTCCATTTTTTTTTAATGGTCATCACTTGGTGATCCAGAGAAAACTTAAAACAGAAACCTTAATTCCCTGCCCATTTACAATATATTCCCAGTATGAAAAACCTTTGTATAATCTGATCAGTATTTAAAGTATGTCACTTTCACCTGTGGCATCCGCAGAAATGCAATATTCTCACTAGGCTACTTTTCCTTTTTGCTCACTTTAATGTCTGAAGAGAAAAGGAAAGTAGTTTATCATAGTGTTTTCTATCTTCTTCTTTAATGGGTATTACATTACTCACATATAATAATTTTCACCTTGAAGAAGAACAAGAAGCATGTAGAGGCTATTTAGGCTTATTTAGATGCAATTATACAGGTTATTGTGTCCATTAGACAGTCAGGAAAACAAATGAAAAATGGGAAAAAAAAAAAAAGTGTCTACTTTTACCTGGTTTACATTCATAGAGATCACAGCATTCCCCCGGCTTCCCTGATGCCTTAGAAACCAAGATATTCAAATAGCCAGGTTGGCAAACCTTCCTCAAGCAGCCCGCAGGGTTACACACACAGCGGCTCGGGAGTGGACAGCATTCTCCAGGAGGGGCATAGCCTTCAATCAAGATGGAATCTTCTGGACAGCGAGGAGAAAACTGGACTTCACAGCGGGCCTTGGAGCAATCAGGTTTCTCTTCTGAAAGGGAGAGAAAGAACAACACACTGTAAATGTCAGTAAAACACTGAGTTGAAACTGTAAAGACAAGCTCAGATAAAGCTCTCTTCTCTCTCTCCTCAAAACAGTAAAAAGAAAAAAACTGTTGCTGCTGAACTGATCAGCAAAAATTACAGAATATGCTTAAAAGAATGTTGGTAATTACAAGATGGTAGGTGCCTTATGAAATATCTTACCAAAATTCCAAATCTGTGCAATGTGCATGAAAAATGAACCCACACAAACTCAAAAAAGTTGTGAAGCTACACATTTGACCATGATATTGAGAAATACTTGGCATATCATGCACTGTCCTGATGTTCACACCTACACCTTCAGTTTCCTAAGACTTTATATTATAAGCAACTGATTTTCATTGCTTGATTTATTAAACTTGAATGACCTCAACTAAGCTTTCACATATTGAAAAAGCTGGTTAAAAGTTCAACAGCTAACATATTTGGAGCATCTATACTTTAGCAGAAGAGGAATTTCCCTGTACACACTCCCAACACTCAAAACTGTTGTTCCTATGTACTTCACTGGCTTGAAGGGTAAGTAAGAAGAGGTTTGACTAGCACTGACTATAGGCACTAGAGGTTCCAGGCACTGGCTGCAAGCACACAGCAGTAAGAAAAGGAGTATTGTGGAGCAAGTTGGTGGGAACGGTGACAATCTGGAGAAACACAGGTAAGCTAGAGAGAGAAAGAAGACATAGGAGAAGGTTCTTGGACAGCTAGGTAACACTCTTCTAAAATGTGTTGGGAAACACATTTGGAGAGCTAGGTAACACTCTTCCAAAACTTTTTGACTTCTTTTAAAAAGAAGTAAAAATTCCTCATTCTCAAAAAAGTAAATCTTACTTCTGGCAAAAATGTTGTGTTATGCCCTCCAATGATGAAGCCACACTGAGAAAAATCTCACCACTCCTGTGGCCACTTTACTCCATAAAGCAAACAGTGGGAAACTTGATCATACTGAAGAGCACTTTGCTCAATATAACCGAGTGCTGTTTAAAAACAAGTGGATTCAAGACACTGAGAAGAGCAGTATCTTTAGGTGAATAAGACATGGTGTCTTAAGCGTTCAGAAGCAATGCAGGGAGCCTTCCCAGCCCTGACCAGAAAAAAACAACAATGGAAAACCAAGGCCTGAATTTATGAACTGTTTGTACCACTCCTTTGTCATTTGCAATTTGTAAACTAGACAGTTCTACAATGGTCACTATTACACCTACAAAATTAATTTACTGTTTTGCTTCTTGCCATTAAAGTTAGATTCAGAAGACTAGAAACAAGTAAAAACAACTCTAACCTTATTAATTTCATGTTTAAGCCAGCGCCATTTTAAGAATTAATCTTTGGTGATAATGATTAAGATGTATCAAATACCAGTGTCTCTGATAAGTCAAGAATATATTCACCAAGATTTTAGTAACTCACTGGTTTTGAAGTCACTCAAGTTATTGGATATTGTGTTTGGGTTTTTTGAACTAAAAGCAACACATCTAATGTGCAATTCTACTTCCAAACATACACCAAATGTCAATAACAGCAATAATTTTTTTTTTTTCAGAGAATAATTTTTACACTTAGTTTTGGTACATTCTTTGGAATTCTAGGTCATACTGAAGAATCAAAGCAGTATTGTTTGTCTACATGGTTGATTTGCTAACAGTGCTTTAAATTTCATTTAATCTTGGAGGAATACAATGCCTAGGCATGTAAATGCTTTGAAAAATATTAATCTAGATCTTAGCAGCAATAATTGCAAAAAGAAATAATGAATATAAACATTTGCTTCAGTCTTAATTGGCAAATATAGCAAAACAGAATTAAAAAACTAATTACACAGATTTCCTTCTGGTACAAGAACTTTATATTTTTTCTTACAAACAATGGAGTTTACTAACTTGAATGTGACACTAGATAGCATCATAACTCTTTTCTTACTGTTTACCCCCCCACTATTTCCATCTATCTTTAAAATAGTTTAGGCTAGATATGTACATGGCCTAGAATTTTAAACATTTGTAGGACCAATTCTGTTTTAAACATACCCTTATGTTTAGGTTCTTATCTCCTTTATTAAACACATTGTTCAGACTGAACATTACTGATTACAGAGGTTCACTGCAGAAAATTGTATAAATAATATATAACATACTAGTTTTATGGTAAACTGGTATTTTATTGGTATCCTTTGGTTTATGGATATAATAAAAGGCTTGACAATTTAGTTTTTAAAAATATTCTCATTTCCTCTGCACGCTGTTTAGTTGTACAGAGAAGTGATAGAACAGTAGTACAGGATCGGCCCTTGAAGTTCATGCACATGATAACCACTTAAAATTCAGCCTGTTCATTACTTGATCTGCCCCAGCATTATGCAGCAAGTGATTTTCTGATTTCCATGACTAACAGATCATCTCAACCTCATGCAGTCTCTCTGGTGAAAAGACTTTGTATTGTACATATTTTTAAAAGTTTACCTACTATTTTTATTTGATTGCATTTACATACATACATCTATATTGAGATAAGTGTTTCCTTAAGGACTGTTTGTGTATTTGACCAACTTAAGCCAACTTTCAGAAATATGAGGTTTTGTCAGAAATGCATGTCAAACTGTTGGGATTCAGACTATTCAGAATTCTCTATATATTTATTTTGAAAGCCAATGCAAAGTCTGCTGTTGGAGTTGGTAAGAACACACAGCAAAAATATGAACAAAACAAGGATGAGACACTATCAGCCTGTAAGAAGCATCACAAACAGTAGAAGAGAGACATTTTAAATTGAGAACTGTGACAAGTATTTCTGTACAAAATGTTCACTAGTGTTTCAGAGTTATTATCTTTGACAGCTTTTCCACATAATTGTGCACAATGTAGTTAACTATAACAGAATACAATAGGACTCTATTGTTAAATAAAACTAGCGTCACTTTTAGAGGAAATGGTTTAAACACAAACCACCATCACCTTGCAAAGACATTTTGGTGTTTTAATACCATGTGACATAACACCAGCAGACATTTAGAAATCAAATTTAAATTTGCCTTTTAAATCCAGTGTCACTATTACTTTTGTACTGCATAGTCCTAAAACCAAATAAAATCGTCCCCTACTACTACTGTGTTAAATACCGTGCTTCCAAATTATAATTTTGAACTATGTTCATGGTAAAACATTCTCTTGTCCATATACAGACGCAACTGAGCAACAGAAAAGACAAGTATATTAATCCAAGCTAGATCAGCCAAAAGACAGTTATCCTTCAGCTCCCCTAACTCAAGCCACAGCAGAATCAAGGGCAGGTTAAGAATCTTCCTGCAGACTAAGTCATTATTTGGTTCTAGATTTCTGTGGTTTTCCTTTTGTGGAACAGAGCAAGTGGACGAAACAACGCGACAGTATTTAAAGTGGTTTTTTTGAGCCTCTACTTCATACTTCTGAAACTAATCTTTATGTAAAACATGAAAATCCAGCAGCTCCCAGTGTACCACTACCATATTTTAGTTAAAATTTCAATCAGTTAGGACCTTACTAGTGTAACTGTAGCCTGAGCCCAGCACCTCATTACCATATAAGAAGGTGGGAGTTCTGTTTTACTGCAGTTTGCTAAAGGCTGATGAGGGCTCCTCATTTTGATACCAAGCCCGAATGAAAGAGATTACTTTTACGCAACCATTAAGAAAAATGTCAACATTTTCCTTCTTCATACCTCAGCAAATGGCAAGCATACCCCGCTTCTATTTACAGGGATAAAGGTTTGTATATGAGACATACTTCTACAATTCATTGTACTAAACTTCTTTGCCTTCTTGTCACTTGATCAAAGAAGGCAATCAAAATTGACTTTGTTTTCAAAATAAATTACAAACATCAATACAACCATAAAAGCCACTGCTTTAGCAGGATTCATGATTTAATTCCATTACATACAGCTATTCAAGATTTCATCAAATAGGAATAGTTTAATAGGTCTTTTTTTCTTTTATTAACAAACACTTTCAGCCCTTAAAAAAGGAACACATAAGGAGACATGTATTTTCAATTATCATGCTCTGACAACAGACCACCTCAAAAGACAGAAAGGTAAGGCAATGGCAAGCTGCATTCCACAGAAAACAACCGTGAAACCACTCAGAGATATTTCTGCTACTTTAGCATTTTTATCCACCCAATGGGGAATACTTAAAAGCAGTTTCTCAACAGGCCAAGGCAGATGCACAGCAATAACCTACTGCTCTTCTCTGTCAAATACATACGTACACTACAAAGCACTGACTTGGGAGTCCTGGTGGACAAGTTCACCATAAGACAGCAGTGTGCTCTTATGGACAAAATGGCCAATGGCATCCTGAGATGTATTAAGAACAGTGTGACCAGCAGATTGAAGTAGGTTCTCTTCCCCCTCTACTCTGCTCTAGTGAGGTTACATCTGGAGTACTGTGTCCAGTTCTAGGCTCCCCAGTTCAGCAGAGATAGGGAACTACTGGATAGAGTCAAACAGAGGGCTACAAAAATGCTTAGGGGACCAGAGCATCTCTCTTATGAGGAAAGGCTGAGAGACCTGGGACTGTTTAGCGTGGAGAAGAGAAGACTGAGAGGGGATCTTATCAATGCTTATCAATATCTAAAGACCAGGTGTCAAGAGGATGGGGCCAGACTCTTTTCAGCGGTGCCCAGTGTTAGGACAAGGGGCAATGGGCACAAACTAGAACACAGGAAGTTCCATCTAAACATAAGGAAAAACTTCTTTACTGTGCAGGTGACAGAGCAATGGAACAAGCTGCCCAGAGATGTTCTGGAGTCTCCATCTCTGGAGACTTCGAAAACCCGACTGGACATGGCCCTGTCCAACCTGATCTAGGTGAACCTGCTTTAGCAAGAGATGTGGACTAGCTGATGCCCAGACGTCCCTTCCAACCCCTACCATTCTGTGATTCTTTAAGCATCTTCAAAGTCAAACAAGATA